CCCCCCCCCCCCAAAACCAAATCCTCTGTTCCCACTTATTTAAATCTCCTTCCTCTCCACCCAAATTTATATCAGTTCCCAAAACTAGTTATAAGCTTTAGTGATTATGCCAATATCTAAAGAGTGCTTTAATCCTGAGTGGTTTTCATTACCGGCAAGCAATTATAAATTAACCCTGCATTGTTATACACTCACTTTAATAAATTGTAAATGCCCATTACAAAGAGGGACAAAAAAGAGATAACTGTTTGTAAATGTAGCTACAACAATTATGATGTCATCATCATTTGCAGGAACCAGGAAGCATCTATCTTGGAATAGCACATCAATAGTTTCCACCCAACCACTCATGTACACAAAGGCAATGGAAAATCATTGTTTTACAAAAATAAATGCACAGATGGATCCAGAAAACATGCAAGGGAGGGGCAGCCAAAAATAAACAAACTTTTAGCATACATACAATGCCACTCACATAAATAACAGTTCTCACTCTATCATTGCTACTACACATACAAAAAACAATAGTTCTCACTTTGATAATTTTCTACCTCCATAAATGTCACATGTATATGTATCAATTTTAGTAAATAGAAAGGAAATCTGGATTCATTCATTATTTTGTTTTGGAGTTTTAGATTTTAAAAATGAGAAATGAAATGGAAACACTGCATACCTCTCCTGGCTCTGTTTTCTTAGTACATCGCACGTGATGAGATTCATCAACAATCAGGAGAGCCCATTCTCGTTCAAGCATGCTCTTCCTTAAACGATGAAGCATGGTATAAGAAATAACCACAACTTTGGGACTTCTTGTTAAATATACAGGGTTGTCTAGATGGCCAAAAACTGGATTTGAAGAAACGTGTAATGTCAACTAGCTAATGAAAGAAAATAAAGATTTTGCTACAAATAATGAATAAAAAGTCCATACAACAAAAGGGGAAATAATATCCAAAATTTCAAATTAATAGGATTGAACTTGATCTGCAAAATTACTATATATGAAGAATAAAAAATAGAAGAAGAAAAAATCCAATATTCAAGTTTTCATTTGTGTACTCTTAGTTGATTTCTAGCATTGTTTACACTGCATAACAGTAAATCCAATATAGTGTAAATTTCAAAGCCAACATTATGTGAAACATTAGAAGAAAGATAAGCTTTAATAAAATAGCTTATGAAAAAAAAAATTATAATATGACCAGAAAAATATTTTTTTCTTGCAGGGCATCACTATGGCCTTTCCAATATTGGCTTACATGATAGCCAGGCCACACTGATAAGCTACCAGCATGAGGAAGCTATTCAGTAAATTCAGTTTAGTTTGTGGTATATTCAGTTGAAGGGTACTTGGGTATATTCAGTAAATTCATGTAGATTTCGCTCTCTATTTTTCTTGTCTTTAATTATAAGAGAAGTTGTTTGGGGTTTCATCATGTTTTACATTGGCCGTCTCAAGAGCCTAATACAACCTTCCTCTTTCATAGGGGCTGGCTAAAATAGAATTTCTTAAGGAGGAAGCATACAGAGGTGGACACAAAGTCCTTCTATCACAGCCAAAGCTCAGCAAAAATAACATTTTATTTATATGGTAGTAGCAGAAGGTTGTGCTCATGAGAGAACTAGCTTGGCATAATGATACGAAATTCAGAATTATACCAGATCCCAATAGAAAATGGTACATATAATGTATAAGCTTATGTCTGCAACAGATATCAGCGTGATGTCAGTATCAGTAACACACATAACTAGTTATATACAGAAAAAGTAGCAACAGAAATAGGAAAAGAAATACAGTCATACAGATAATCCAAAGCCATTGAGGAACTTGGTCTCTACCTGCAATTCCCTCTACTCAGATCTTTCCTGCCTCCTCTCTCTCTTTCCTTTCCCTCCTCCCCTTTTCTCCTCTCTTCCAACCAACTAAACCCTCCCATGTGCATTCCATTCCCATGCCTCCTGCCATGGGTACAGGTAGTTATGCTTTTTCTCATTGCTTTCGGTGATTACAGTGCTTGCACTCACACCAGGCATTAATACCCATTCCCTCTTCCTTTTTTTCTACAATACACTTGTTTAATTGGTGATTTACTAACACAAACCCATATTCCATTTTTAACTTTCAGCGAATTGTGGTCTTGATCGCACAACACAATCACATCAAGTTGTAAAGCAATAAGGCACTAAACAGTTGGATTTATCAACATGACCACATAACATCATCAAACATTCTTAACCCCACCTGAGAGCTCCAAACCTTCTAAGCAGATAAAGTTTCCACATGGCAGCACCCCCAACTTGGTCATTAACTCATTCTCATCTAATTGTCCACAACCGCAAATCACTCGTAACTAACCCTCCAATCAACAAAGCCCCCATACACATACAGTTATTTTCACAGTAGAGTTCTCAACCACACTTCCATTCACTCATCACAAACCACACTTCCATTCACATAATAACCTTCAAATGCATCAATTGTACTGTCATCACTCATCATAAACATCCTATATTCCTAATTTCCTATCAAGAGCAACCATTTCCCTCAATCCCAACCAATGCTGTCTCTCAACATTAACAAGCCCCACACAAACACGAAAATTACCTAAATGGATATCCGCCGGCAAGCAGAAGGGAAGCCAGCGCTCCAATTCCTCCGCCCACGAGTACCGCAACACAGCAGGACACACCACAAGTACAGGCCCCTCATCCATAAAACACCCGGCAACAGCAATACCCTAAAAAAACACACAAAAACAAAAAACCACCAATCAAAACAACCACAATCGCACATCGCTGAGAAAACCAAAACAACCGGCACCTGAAGCGTCTTCCCGAGTCCCATGTCGTCCGCAATGAGGCACCGCGCGCCCCTCCGCAGCGCGAACCTCAGCCCGTCGTGCTGGAAAGGGAGCAGCGCGGCGCGGAGAGTCGCCGGCAGCTTGGCGACGAGGCGCTCCACCTCGTCCTCCGGCAGGTGCTCCGGCAGCAGCGGCGTCCACCGCCCCGCCGCGAAGGAGTGGGAGAGGCGCTCGACGACGTTGAACGTGGCCCAAGGAATCTCCTCAACCTGCAGCGCCTCCGCGGCGGCCTTGAGCGGCCTGAGCACGTGGCGGTAGTCGGCGAGGTGGAAGACGCAGGCCTTGGCGCCCTCGGCGGTCTGCGTGAAATGCGAGGGCGTGACCTGAAAGAGGGAAAGGGAAATGAATGAAATTAGGGTTATGCAAAAGGGAAGAGTGTGAGAGTGAAGTTAAGAGTTAAGAGTTAAGAGTTGCGTTACGTGTGAGAGAATGTTGGTGAGCGTGGCGAGGGAGTGTTGGTGACCGGGGAAGGGGAAGTTGGGGAGAGGGAGGGGAGTGACGGAGAAGGAATCGGGGGAACATATTTGGAGGCGAGCGAGGAACTTTGGGGGTTGGGGTTTGGGGGAGAGAGGGAGCTTTTGGCACTTGAAAAGGTGCCACGGATTGTTGTTGTTGGTGGTGTTTTCTCTTTGGGGTTGTTGTTTGGCTTTGGATTCTAGAAAGGCTTTGCGTTTGGCCATGGCTGCGGCGCGGTTGGCTTCGACCTGTTGAAGCTGTTCTTCGCTCAGTTCCATTTGCTGTTGCAGTTGCAGAGTGCAGAGGGAGTGCGAGAGATTTGATTTGAAGTGATGTGATGTGAGTGAGGGGCGCAGTTCTCAGAGATTTGAATTACGCACGTGCCAGCTGTGGCGCGTTCCTTCACGCGCTTTGTTGGGTACGGGAGAAAGGAAGTATACATCCATGCGCTGTTTGATTGCCGAACGGAAAGAACACATACGAGTGTGTTCGATTCTCTTTCTAACATGGATTTCCGTGACTGTCAACTGTCAACCGTTATTTCTTTTTTTTTCCTTCTGAATTATTTTAAAAGAAATGTTTTTAATTTAATTTTTATTAGTTATTAAAGGTCAAGAGACTTCACCACTCTAATAATTATATAGATAAAATATTAGATAATTATGGATAATTATTAAAAAAAATAAAAAAGTTTTTTTTTTATTTTTAAAAAGTATAAAGATTTACTAAAAAGTAATGATAGAAAAAGATTATATATCCTTATATTTTCTTATAATATGTATAGATTTTTAAAGTTATCAAAATAATATATATATATAATATAATATAAATATTAAATAATATTTAATGAATATATTTTAATGTGATATTTTTTAAATATATAAATAAATTAATATTCCTATGATATAACA